AAATAAATAAATACAAAAAAAAAAAAAAAAGAGCTGAGAGGCCTGGTGCGGTGGCGCACGCCTATAATCCCAGCACTTGGGAGGCTCAGGCAGGAGGACTGCTGCATTCAAGGCCAGCCTGGGCTACAAAGTGAGCCTAAGGCCAGCCTGAACTGCGTAGTGAAACCCTGTCTCAAAAAAACAAAAAAGAGAGAGAGACAGACAGAGAGAGAGAGAATGAGAATGTGGCAGTGTGACAACCCTGAATTTAATCCCCAGAAGAAAGAAAAGAAAACCTCTTCATTGACTCTCAACAGAAATCCTTTACATAATTATAGGAATCGCGCCTCACCTGACACACGAAGCCCTGTTGGGATTCTCTGTAATAGCCCTTGCCCTGACAGCCGTCCTCAGCGTGCACAGGAACCACTGTCCTGACCCCACAAAAGAAACATTAACTTAAATCGCTGAAGGAACCTGGCCTCTAGATCTGTAGTGACTCTCCTCTATGACTCCAAGGAGGAACCTGTGCCCTAAGCTGCTACAGAAACTCCTGCCTTTATTTATTTGTTTTTGGAACCAGGAATCGAACTCACGACCTTGTGCTTGCCAGGCAGGTGCTGTGCCGCTGAGCTATATCCCCAACCAACCCCTGCCTTTATGCTCAATGGGAACCTTTGGTTTGCCTCTTTGGAGGAATCCAAGGAATGAACTTATATAAAAACTCTTACACTATAGGGGAACCCGTGGGTCCTTGTTAAACAACCCATACTCTGAGCTAGGCACGGTGGTACACATTTGCAGCCCCAGCTTCTTGGCTATTGTTTGTTGTTGTTGTTTGCAGTGCTGGGTATCAAACCCAGGATCTCACACATGCTAGGCACGTAGTGTACTCTGTCATGAGCCATACTCCTAGCCCTAGGATTCTGATGTTTTCCTTTTTCTATTCTTTGGCCATGGTAGAGATGGAAGCCAGCCAGGCCCTTGCACCTTCTAGCAAGTGTTTTACCATTGAGCTACAGCTTTTTTTGTGTCTTTTTGAGACAGGGTCTTGCTATGCAGTTCAGGCTGCACTTGAGCTCACTTTGTTGCACAGGCTGGTCTGCAACTCACAGTGATCCTCCTGCCTCAGCCTCCAGAGTGCTGGGATTACAGGTGTGCACCACCATGCCCCATGTGAGCTACAGTTTTATTCTGTGTCCCAGTTACTCAGGAGGGTGAGGCAGAAGGATCACTTGAGCCTAGGAATTTTTTTTTTTTCTTTTGGGTTTTTTTTCCGGTACTGGGAACCGAACTCACGACCTTGCGCTTGCCAAGCAGGCGCTGTGCTATTGAGCTAAATCCCCAGCCCCGAGCCTAGGAATTTAAAGCCAGCCTGGGCAACACAGTGATACCCCATCTTATAAAAAAGAAAAAAAGAACATGCCACCGAGACTGTAAGTAGTGTCCAAAGTCTCCACTATTTACTACATGGAGTAGTAACTTGTAGAGAAACTTGGCTGAGCCCTGCTCTACAGGAACCTCTCTTCTGACCAAACAGGAAAATGAACCTTGCTGGGCCTGCTAGCCCACACTTGTAATCCCAGCACTTGGGAGGCTGAAGCAGGAGGATCACCGATAGTTTGGGGCCAGCCTGGGCTACATAGTGAGTTCGAGGCCAGACTGAAGTACACAGCCAGACCCTGTCTTAAAAGCGGGGGCGGATTTAACCCCTTACTCTCTTTATTACTTTGCAGACATCACCTCAGAATATTTTTCAGGAAGCATCACTGTATGTTTTGTTAAATGTAAAGATCTGAAGGTCCTGGGTCTATGAGCCTCTTGCATTAAGACAAAAGTCACGTTTGGGTGGAAAAAGAGTGGAAGGAAAGAGGCTGAAACTGGCATTTTCAAGAGGGTCAGAAGGCCTGGTTACTGGGCGGCAGAGCTGTCAATCTGTTTGTTAAGTCAGCAATGCTGAAGCCCAGACCCCTTATCTCTCTGGCCCCAGCCTACAGCAGGGTAGGAAATGGTGGAGAATGAGACAGGGAGATTAGAAGGACAAACCGGCCTCCTGCGGGCCTGACATTTAGACACAGGGTGGGAGATGCAAGGGGGTGGGCACAAGGACAACTCCCTTTACCGCCCAGGTGCCCGTATGCTTTCTACTCCAGCTTGAAAGCAGAGGTGCCCGGAGGAGAGGCACATAGGGGGAGCCACTAACTCTGAGAACTCCCCCCTCCCAAGTCCATTCTGGCCTCGTACTATTATTATCACAATTTTTTAGATGAGGAAACTAAGCACAGAGCTGTTCTGTATCTAGCCCACGGTCACATGACTAAGAGCCATAACCTCAGTTTCCTTATCTGCAAAGCAGTCTTAATAATGGGAACTACCTCACAGAACCGTGGTTTCCAGCAATGCCTGTCAGTAATTGCTAACCCTGCCATCACTCGTCCCTGCTGAGACTTCTTCCACGCCACCTTCTATTTTCGCGGAGGGTTAAAAGCTAACATTCGGCGCCTCTTCTGGACCACCGTTATTAATATTCTCACAACGTCTACCATCATCACCACGCCCATTCTGGCCACCCACCAGCCATCGCCCAAGGTCAGCCTCGTTCTCAGCCAAGCCACCAGCCCGCCCGCGCTACGTCATCACTGTGCGCTGCGCGGGAACCCCTGGAAGAAGGCGCCCCTTCCTAACGCCTCCGCTTCCTTGCTCGCTCTCGAGTCACCGCACAGCACAGTTGGCGTGGCTCCGGAGGGCTCCTAAGGTGACTGGGCAGGGACGGAAGGATGGCATCTCTGGCAACCAGAACGACAACGGCGTTAGGTGGGGTGGGGGAAGCCCTTGAGCCAGAGTCGGGTCTCGAACAGCTGATGCCCGCTTTACGCAGGCTCAGTACGGCTCGCGTCACTCGCTGACGCACAGTTCGTTTTGTGAGATCGCTAGAGGTGTGGCCGAGTGAGGACCGCTAGCCCGCGGCACTGTCCAGGCTGTGGGCGGGATCTGGGTGGGTAGTAAAGAGGTCCAGCCCAATGGAAAAGAGAGGATCCCGCACCCATGGCCAGACAGGTCGCCACAAAGTTGGCAGCGCGAGCCATGGGCGGAGTTTGAAAAAGGGGCCGCACACAGTGAGTGGGGCCGGGACGATTGGCTGGCGTCGACGGGCTGGGCGGGAAGGGGCGGAGGCTGGCTCGGGACTGGCTGCGGAGACCTAATGAAACGCTAGAGATCCGGTCTGGGCAGGGGGTGGGGTCCGGTGGAAGGAAAGGGGTAGTTCCCGGAGGAGCAGGGCTGGCTGAGGCGCTAGGGGCGGGATCTGGTGGAGTGGAAGGTACTGGTATGGCCCGATAAGGGGTAGAGTTCAGTGAACGTTAAAGGTGGAGTCGAGGCTGGGGCTGGATCGGGCTAAGAGAAAGCGTGAGTGATTACCCTGAGATAGGCCGGAAAGGGCAGTTTATGAAGGGATACGGTCTGGGCAAGGTTGAGAGGAACAGAGGGGTCTGGGAATGAGGCTTGGTAGAGTGAAAGGCGGTGATTAGACCCAAGATGGACAGGTCGTTGGTCAGTGAAAGGGTAAGACCAGCCGGGCGTGGTGGCGCACGCCTGTCATCCCAGCACTCGGGAGGCTGAGGCAGGAGGATCGCTGCGAGTTCGAGGCCAGCCTGGGCTACAAAGTGAGCTCAAGGCCAGCCTGAACTGCATAGTGAGACCCTGTCTCAAAAAGACAAAAAA